CCCCCCCGCCCACCAACAACTCAACTGCCCCCCTCCCCGCGTTCGCGCTATTGTTTGTTGCATGGGGAATAGTGTTTATTTCTACTTTTAATCTTTTTATTATTAAAAAAGAAAGACAAAAACCTAACTTTTTCTGTTTTAAACATCATTGTTCTACTATATGAATGAAAATGTTAAAAGAAGAAAACTTATCTTGTTCATTTTATTCTTTGAACTAAACAGTTATTCTAAAGTGCACAATGAAATCGTACTTTTTAACATACGTTAAATTTGAAAAATTGAGTAATTAGAGCTAAATAGTTGATCTACTTCTGAATGAACGAACGTAAATAAATTAATCTAAAAATCTTTTAAGTTATAATTATTTATGTATCTTATAAATTTTTTAAAAATATACGAATACATTCCCTCCGGTTCTCACCTCTCTTTCTCTTTTTTCTCTCTTAACAGAGTCATAAAAATGTTTCGATAGAGTGAGATCGATAGTAAATGTGTCTTTGTGTCTTGGATAAAACTCTAAACATGGATTTTTTTTTGCTTTTAGCAGAAGAAAAAAAACATACAAAAAAAAAATTTTTTCTTTTTAATAATATTTCTGTTCTTCTCTTACTATTTTGAATATCTTTTGAAATAGTACTTAATTAATTGTATTTTTTTTTTATCGTTGAATTAACGAGATATCAACGTTCTTTTCTTTTTTTTTTATTTATTTTGTACATAAAAATTATACGGACCGTACAATTGCCACCCTCAGCAGTAAATATATTTGTTGTTGTTTTGTTTTCAAAAATTTAAAAATTTAAGCAGCTGTTTAAAAAAAATTTATTCTCATTCTATATTGATTTGATAATGACACTTTTTTTTTTATTTTTTATTTTTAGGCAAACAATTTTATCAGAAGCGTACAGTTAAAAAAAATGTTTGCACCATAGTCAAATGTTGATAACATGTGTTTGCCCACACTAAGTGGTTTTCTTCTTTTTTTTTTTTTTTTGAGTTTAAGAAAGAGATATATATCCTATTTTATCAACAGAACAGTGGTAAATTTTTTATAAGAGTGAGACGACTAGAGTTTAAGAAATAAATTTTGTCAAAAAAGTTTAATTTTTTGATTTATCAAGTTTTTCAACAACATTCACTCGTATAATCATCGTTTATTCTTATTTCTGTCATCAATAGAACGTTAATTTTTCTCTTCTTCCATTGTCTAGATAAGGATATAATTATCTATTTTAACATGGAACTGTTTAATGATACCTAATTAGTCACATAGATTTCTCTTTTCTCTTAACAATTAATTAAAAATGTTCATCACGTTCTATTTTTCTTTTTTTTACTTGAATCTCTGCTTTGTTTATGTGAATAGAGGACGTGTGTGTGTTCATCACGTTAAACAGAAGAAAAAAAAGTAGAAAAAAAAAAATCCGTCACTCGACATTATTCTCTTTTTGTTTAACACCTACTCATATTTAATGTACAGATGAAGAAGAAGAAGAAGATGAAGAAGAGAGAATATATCCTTTATAAGATCGTTTAACAAAATTTTAACGTTTTTTTTTCTTTTAATTTTTTTCCCCCGTTCAAAGATGTGTATGTGAGTATATTTCCTACGCAATCCTTTTTTCTCATTTCGTTCTATACATCTGATAATGACAAGTATTGTGCAATTTGGATAGATATTTTTTTGTTTGTTAGAGTTTTCTTACTCGTTGCAAAAAGAAAAAAAAATGAAGAAGAAAAAGAAGAGAAATAATAAAACTTGCCTCCGCTATTTTATCGTTGTTATTGATGACCTTTCTCTCGTTTTCCATTATTAACGACATTATCCCAGAAATGAAAAAAAGAAAAAGAAGCGAGACAAAAACAGGAAGAAAGGACCATAAATGATATAGTACAAAGAAAAAGAGGAAAAAACTATATTGCGTGGTTGCTTTATTCGTTATAAAGTAGTACTAACACACGAAAGAAAAAAAAAAAAAGTAGCTAAATCAAGTAAAATTATATTACATTAGATGTAGAGAATGACATAGAATATTATTGTCTATATGTGTTCATTTTCCGTTTTTTTTTTCTTCTTCTTCTTTTTTCAATCTTGCTATCCACCTACCTTAACCATGAACTATTTTCTTTTTTTTAACCAACTAGTTTTCTATTCTTCTAGATATGGCACCGCCAACAACACATCTTCTAATACGTTCAAAAACAGTGCATGATTTAAATAAAATGACTAAAACAACAACAAGAGATAAAGATAATAATAATTTATTATTATTATCTAATTCATTATCATCAAGTTTAAATTCATTACCAACAACTGAATCATATTCTAGTAGTCAACAAACACCATTATCATCATTATCTAAAGCATCAAGTTATTGTTCATTAATTAATGATGATTTATTTCATTCATCATCATTATCAACATCATCACCTCCACCACCCGCACAAGAAGACGAAGAAGAAGAAGAAGATGAAGAACCAGAAGAAGAAGAAGAAGAAGGAGAAGGAGAAAGTGAAGATTTAATAACGCCTATTGAAAAATATAAAACAATGCCATTACCCGCTGATAAAACTGTTGTTGAACTTCTTACATCTCGTGAACGATATTTATCAAAAAAACGTACATTACATTATACACAATCTCTATTAGATCATAAAAATCTTGCAAAATTATGTCCAATATTAGAAGATACAATTGAAATACATGGAAATGGAAATTTTCCAACATTAAATATTAGACCAAAACAATTTGTATTAGATTTAAGAAAATTATTTCAACAAAATCATATTGATATATTGGACATCAGGCTCAATGGAGGTATGATATTATAGACAAAAAAAAAGAGAAAGAAAAAATAAATAAGCTTTTACAACGTCTATACACCCATAAAATGTCATTGTGATCAAGCACATAAGATTTTTGTCAAATAACACATTTATTTTTTCCACCATATTGAATTAATTTATTTTACTTTAATTTAAAAAAAAAAAAAAAAAAAAAAAAAAGGTTATATGATGTTAGGATACACTTGTATCTATTTTTTTTTCATTCAAAAACGGAAAAATTATGATTACTTTCAATGAAAACTCACAACAAAAGTCTTCATTATCGTTAACTTGTTGAATTCAAGTGCATTTCTATTTAATTTTTTTTTTTTTTTTTTTTTTTTTTTTTTTTTTTTTTTTTTTTTTTTTTTTATTCTGCGTCATCTGTTTATTAGGGAAAAAGAATGCAATGCCCGTTTGTTGCTCGTTGTTTTATTAATATTAAGCGGAAATACTTTCCGAATCATTGCAATAAAAATAGAAAAGAAAAACACCCGGGATTTTTTTTTGTATATGATGGAATAAATTTCTAAATTCATCATAATGTAGAAAATTTTCCACTTCAATAATATTTTTTTTGTGATTTGATGGTCACATTCCACTAAATAAGTTTATGTTGTTTTCTTTTTCTTCTTCTTTTTTCATCTATTAGTTCTGCTCTTCTGTTCTATGAGAACATTGTGACTATAGTCTGATAGAAATGCGTTTCAAATTTCATTAATTGATGACGTGAATTGTGTATAGAATATCGTTTATTTTCATTAATACATGATCCATAATCTGCCCACAAATATTTTAATATAACTTCTTTTTAAAGTTAATTTCAACTATTTTTAGCATCGTCTCATATAATTTATTATGTATGACAGATAGAATTTTATTCTCAAATATTTTTTGTACATATGCAATATTCTAGTAGAGAAACACAAATACAAAACAAAAAAAACTTTAGATAAAAAATAGTTTTGTTTTCACAAGAGTCTTATGCTTGAAGAGTAATGAAAGAGTAGTACATAAAAATTGACAAGAATTATATATATATATAATATGTACTTCTTCACTCTCTAATAGACCATTTTTAATTGAGTAGTGTTAAGAGACTTGAGTTTAATGAAAAATTTTGACTTTATTTGTAAGATACATGGGTTTTTTTAAATAGAGAAACACATGTATCTTCAAAAATAGCAGACAAATTTTCATATTTTTGGATTTACAATCAGTATCAAACAATAACAACAATTGATATTTTGTATTTATTCTTTTTAGGTGTTGCTTCCTATGTTTTAACCAATGATAAATCTTATATCTATAATGATATTGATTTTATATTTCGTTGTGATTTATCAACTGAACAAAAATGGTCACAAATTAAATCACTTGTATTTCAATGTATTTCTATTAATTATTTTCCACAAGGTACCACACTTATATCACCCGTTATTTTACAACAAGCTTATGTTGAAAAAATGATTCGTGTTGTTAATCAAGAAAATGATTGTTGGGGTTTAATATCATTATGTAATCATTATGGACAAAATTTTGAATTAAAATTTTTAGATCGAATGAAACGACAATTTCAATTTTCAGTTGATTCATTTCAAATTATTTTGGATCCATTATTAGATTATTATGAAAAAGAACAAGACTATGATAAATTACATATAACAACAAAAAAATATTCAACAAAAATAAATTCTCATCAACAATATTCAAATGGTCGACAACAACAAAAATTATATGGAGGTAAAATTTATTTACAATTTTTAGATTGTTATTTGTTTTCTCTTGAGTACATCTTTTATTAAATATGATCGTTTGTAGAATTTCAAATTAGGTAGGATGGAGAGATATACTCCATCCTAAATGTTGACACTATTTCGTCAGATTTTTTATTCTGTCTAAAATTTGTCCAATCCTTTTTTTGTGAGTAAAAGAAATGTCATGATTATCTTGACTGTAAGAGACTGACAGCTATTATCAGTTGTTCGGCTGGATTTTACAAATGTTTCCACTTGTTTAGAAAAACCTGTTCATCAACGTTAAAAAAAAAGACTGTCTGTCATAAAAATATCCTCATAAAGATGAAAAACAATGGGAAATCCAGATCACGTGTCAACGTATGATGTTTTAGATTGAGTTAATGATTCATTTGTGTATCAGCTGTATTTTTGAAAAACAACAACATCAACAATGTTCATCATTAGAGTACAAAGGAAATTTACTAATATGATTTACGTGTTGATACGTTGATGAAGAGGAAAGAGAGAGAGAAAAGAGATGAGAAATAAAACGAGAAGGTTAAAGGGAACAGATTGAAGTTGAAATGTGTGTGTGTGTGTGTGCATCGTTGTCTCTCTCAGTTAACCGAGAAAAGAAGAAAAAAAGAAACGTAGATATTATTTTAATTAAAGTAAAAAAAAGACTAAAAAATGGACTCTAGTGGAACAGATTGACCCTTTTCAAAACATTAATCAACAAGTGATTGTGTGATCGAAGCATGACAAGAATATGTAATAAAAAAAATGAGAAATAAAATCATAGATAGATAACAGATATTGGCATCGGAGAAGAAGAAGAAGAAGAAGAAAAAAAGAACACTACCACAACTGTAAAAATAATAACTTTTTTCCTTCTCTCGTTCAAATATGACTGAGTTACAGTAAGGATTAGAAATGGGCTCTAGTATCAATAAAAACAAAAGAAAGTTAAAAAATAATGAACTTTTATAATGAATAACTGTTGACCTCTAATAAAATCTTCCAAAATATAGATATTGATATAATCGAGCAAATAATGATAAAACTACTCATATCACATTTCATAAGTAAAAGAATATTGTTGTTTTGTTTTGAATAAATAAGAGAGATTGAATCTCTAAATTTTTTCTAATATATTTTATATTCTATTTTTTTTTATAGATAAACAACAACGATGTTCACCATCATATCCATGTGTCTATGTTGAATGTGTTTATGGTAATTTTGATTTAGCTCTTTATCATCTAAATCGAAAATTAATTGCTACAAATTCACCTGAAGGTATTCGTGGTGGTGGTTTACTTAAATATTGTTTATTATTAATACGTGGCTATAGACCTGCTGATATTGGTACAATATGTCAAATGGAAAAATATATGTGTTCAAGATTTTTTATTGATTATGCTGATATTCAAGAACAAGAACATAAACTTACAAGTTATTTATATTCTCATTTTAATGACGATGATCAAATGATTTACAAATATTTATTACAATTACGACTTATTGTAAATCGTTCAACTGTTTGTCTAATGTCACATGAACGAAAATTAACATTGGATTTAATTACAAATATAGCTACACATTATTATTATAAACTTTATACAGAAGGTGTATGGGCCTATGAACATACGGGTCCCAATCTTGTTGTACCAAATTCTGTTTCAATTGATGTTATTTATCATGATGATTATCCTCAAGAATGTACATGTACATCATCATCAAAATGGAAAAGAATTTATACACCTCAACAGACAATTAAATTTTATGATGATTAAAATGAACTGACGAACGTATCAATTTTTGTTAAACGAATACATGTTACATTTGAAATAGAATACTTTTCTTTTTCTCTCTCTCTCTCTCTCTCATATATTTATACTCATTATTACTATTAATACATCAACTGATACATTTTATTCATCAGGTGAGCTTCTTTTGTTTGTAATGACCGGTAATCAGCATAATAACTTATTTTTGTCCCGGTTTAATGTACATATAGAAATTGTAAATGATAGGCTCAAAATCTAGTCAGCAAAGTTATTTAATATATAGCCGGTTTCACTTCACTCATTACTTCTCGTTAGTGTCAATGAGACTAAAAAAATAAATAAATAAAGAACATGAACACACATTCCAATATTGTGTACATGACAATTTTCTTCAATTTTATTTTATTATTCTTTTCTTTGTTTTGTGAACTAATGTGTGGAGTATATTGGTGACTTATATTTTTATTTATATACATTTAATGTCGTGAATATCAAGAGTGGTGTCTGAATGTAGTATTGAAAAAAAAATTTTTATTTTCTTGTTTGTTGTGTTGTATATATATTCACGAAAAAAATACTTTATTTTGATGGAAAAAAAAATAACAACATTTTTTTTTTAATTTATGTTTAAAAACGAACTTCTTCAATGTTCCATTATTGTTTGTTTGAATGTATAAATTATTTTTAAAAAATAAAATTAATTAATTAAAATTTAAAAAGTATGAAATCATTGAGAAAATCGGATATATTCGTTCAAAACATATGACTTAGGAGGGAAGGTCCGCAAATGTTACTCTCACTTTTCAATGGAACATATCCGAATTAATTCGTAGAGCTCGACGAACTGATTACGATGGCATAAAGCATTTTCCTCCATGACTCTTGCAGACACGGTTTTCTGGAAAACCAGTTTTTCAGAAACTCTAAAACGTAACCAAAACCTTTTTTAATGGGGCATAATTGTAGCCCGCACATTTCTGATTAAAATGAGACCTCTCCCAGCTCTACACGACCTTTAGATCTTACAAGAAAAGCCCTAAATTACTTTCTTCCTATTTCTGTAGCTTTGAGCTGACAATGAACATTTAGGGCTTTTCTTTAAATTCTATAACGTTGCAAGGAAAGGTCGTGTAGAGCTGGGAGATGTCTCATTTTAATCAGAAATGTGTGGGCTACAATTATGTGGAGAAAGAGTCATGGAGAGAAATGCTTTATACCATCGTAATCAGCTCGTCGAGGTCTATAAATCAGGATATGTTCCATTGAAAAAGTGAGAGTAACACTTGGGGTAGTAACACCTTTCCTCGTTAGAGAATTGATAGTAGTTTGGATATTTATTAATGCACTAAAAACAATATAACATGAGAAAACTATGTTGCGTAGGGCACATGTGATATCTGTTTGACTTTGATTGTTTCTGGTGTGTGACTTGAATCGGCAGACTAGATGATTATGACACTGAAAAATTCTATGTGGCATCGATATGACCTCAATGGGCACTTTGTAGCTGAAAAATGTTTTTCTTTGTACATGATTAATGAATATGCTTATTATTAATCCTGAGTGCTAGTAATTTTTGTATTTTCTTCTTTGGTGAAATAATCACCACTAAACTGAGAACTCTAGAAAGTGAATGTTTTAAACTCACTTCAAGAAGATGAAATGATGAAACTGATGCACACGGTCGAATCTATAAAATTTCTTACTCATGAATATGTGTTAATGTACTTCTATTCTGAACGCATGGTTATAATTTATCGTGTATGTTCGAACAAACACAGGAAAGTTTCAACTATCAAAGTCGAGTCGACATAGCACATCCTATTATTGTTTTCAATCAAAAGAAAACCCACTTGTTATAATAAAAAGCATCAATTTATCAATTACTTTTGAAAGTACAATTTTCAGAGAGATGCTTTCTTTCTGAAGAATTTCCAGAGGATGCCGCCGTTTTATTTTCTTTCTTCTGTTTACACCATTTAGTAGACAACACCCATGCCTCCACACCTATCAACTACCACTTTTCTACTAGTAAAAATGACTTAACTACACTGTAATCTTGAATTAATTTCCGGTTTATAGAAAATCAATCGAATTTCTAGAAAGTGGAAATTCGCCCAGTAGTACCTGGTCGTGGCGCTAATTGGTGCAGACCCCTCAAGGAATTTCCAGTTTATAGAAAATCAAAAAGAAATTTCTGCTTTCTAGGATAATTTCTAAGGAAAAATTCTTCTCCGATTCTAAGCTGAGAACCGAGAACCGAGGTTCTCTCCTAAGTCGGGAATCAGAACCGGGATTCTTTTTGTTCTGGTTCTGGCTTGAGAACCAGAACCGAGAACCGAACATCCCTAGCCTCTACTATACTTGTACAGATAGCACAACTGTTACAGGACCATACAGCACGTTTCCTTCAGACCCTTGATTTTTGCTGCAAACTCAATCTTCATAAGACTAGGAGCATTTATAAGAAAAACTAAGCTGCATTTAGAATCAGCGCACGAAACTGCATCTAATGATGTACAACTGGACTATATCCTGCAACTTCTTTCCCATACGAAAGGCAAAAAGTCTTACGTTCTTCTCCTATACATGAAAGGCGGTAAAAGATCTTTTTTTCAAAAAACAAATTCCTCACCGCCGTTTGTGTCTTCCATTAACACATTCAATGCGCTAGTCATACACCTTACACACTTTATACTTTTTCACGGCTTCTGCAATTGCTTTTGCCCCTGCATCTGATATATTGTTGCTCCTTATGTCAAGAGTTGTTAATGTTTGGTTTGTTTTCAGGGCTTCTGCAATTGCTTTTGCCCCTGCGTCTGTTATATTGTTATTGTACATATGAAGAGTTGTTAATGTTTGGTTTGTTTTCAAGGCTTCTGCAATTGCTTTTGCCCCTTCAGCTGATATATTGTTGCTGTTAATACCAAGAGCTGTTAATGTTTGGTTTGTTTTCAAGGCTTCTGCAATTGCCCCTTCAGCTGATATATTGTTGTTCTCAATATCAAGAGCTGTTAATGTTTGGTTTGTTTTCAAGGCTTCTGCAATTGCTTTTGCCCCTTCAGCTGATATATTGTTGCTGCCAATATCAAGAGTTCTTCTGTCATTAGACCTTAATTTTTCTATAATTTCGTTCACTTCCTTGGATAGTTTTGTCGAATATGTTTCTGATACACTTGATATTTTCAATTGCGTTCCAGCTGGTGGTGGCTTTGCCGGTGATAACGGCGAGAATTGTAGCTTTGAATAACCTGAAGAGGGAGCAAATGGAGCTTGAAGGCAGACATGTGGAGTCTTTATTTCTCTAACATGAATACTGTGTTTAGCTTTGTAGATCATACTTGACTACCAACTTCACAATGCGACCCTGGTCAAAGAACTATTGGATATTTTGGGGAACACTTTCTGCGTGATCTACTATAGTCAAGCTGATTGATTACGGTACGGTAATTGGTGAACTTGCTAGCTGTAAAGTCTAATTATCCCTCAGAAAAATAATCTGCGTCAAAATATTTGTTGGCATTTTAATATATGTGGGAAAATCGTTAAGATCTGACTCAGCTTCACAAAACTCGACTATTTACGTCCCCGCAGACTCTTAAATCTCTCTGTCGATAAAGGTAGACTGGGTGTAATCATAAGTTACCATCTTTTGCTTTTAGTTGGTCGCGGAAATCTTCATGTACTGTGATCTTCTGAATCCAAGAAGATTGTTGTTTATCCTCTTCGACGCGGAAGTTCGATGATTCGATAAGTTCATCTTTTAATTCTTTTAAGTCATTTATCCATTTGCTGAGATCTCGTTCATCATAATCTTCATCGTCTGTACCTTTACGAACTCTATTCGTTATTTTGAGAAATCTATCCATAAGCCGGTCCTTGTTTTTATCTAGCAATTTCACAACGTCAGTCCGACATTGATCAGCGAGTTGATTAATTTTATCGATAGAGTCTTTCTTCCATTTATCAATTTGCTTGAAGAGATTATGACAGTCATTTTCATTTGGTGTTTCGAGCTGCTGTTTCACCATATCGTGTTCGTAAACAACATTGTCGAGTTCTTTTGACAAATCTTGACGATGATCATTGAAACATCGTCGACAAAACTTTACTAAACAGCCATCGCATGTGAGTATACCAGAATTTTTCTCACATTTTGCACATTGAGCTTTTGATGTAGCTGCCATTTAAAACTTGAATAAAATATTTCTTCTATTGGAAGAAAACCCACTCTGCTTGAGTCTCGTATTAATGTTAACAATAGAAGATCTCTAGTTAGTGACAGGTAACAGCACAAAATCCTAATCTTATGTTTGTAATCGATGTAATGTATATGAAAAATTTCTGCATCACTCGCTCGTCAGTTTACATTGAAAAACGTGTTCTCTGTACGTTTGTATAGTCAACACTGATTTTAAAAAAGGTGACTAATTGCATAAAAGCAAAAGATGTTTTTTCCTTCTGTAGCGATGACGGTTGTCTATCTAAAATAGAAGTAGCGGCGGAAGGGCTATACTTTGTACACGCTTCTTTTCAAAATAAGTAAAAGAAATGCGCAATAAAGACTTTTTGGTTTAGGCTTTAATCTTGAACCAGAACGAAATCGAGAATATAATTTCCCATTATATCATGATATTATAATATAATTTCCCATTATAGTATGATATTCTGAAACTTAAACTATCAGTTTGCACGAAGGCAGAATCGAACATACGAACTTGATCTTTGCAGACGAAAAGGCTTTTTCCGTTGTTTTTGGTGGTATATAGAAGGCATATCGGCCTGTCCAGCTAACTGTAATTCCGTAACGTTTTTTGGTGATTTTGTTTTATTTGCAGAAATTTTTCAAAAAGTCAGAACTCAAAAGTGAATAAGCCATTTTGTAGACAATTCAATTCTCTATCGACTGACCTGGTTTTGAAAAGTTTTACCGAAAATCTCTTCGTTAGGAAATTCAAAACAAGGAGAACCGCTTTACTAAATTTATGAAAAAGATATGTAAAAAGTAGCTCTCAGTGTTTTTAATTTCCTAACTAAGAGATTTTCGCTGAAACTTTTCAACGCCAGGTCAGTCGATAGAGAACTGAATTGTCTACAAAATCGCTCATTCACTTTTGAGTTCTGACTTTTTGAAAAATTTCTGCAAATAAAATAAAATTACCAAAAAACGTTACGGAATTACATACGCAGGTAGAGTTAGCTGGATAGGCGATATATATGACAAGAGAGAAAAATTATTGTGGACGGTATCTGGAACGATAAAATGTCATAATCACTATAGGCAAAGCAAGTTCTATGTCTCTCGCTACGATATATTTACACTTATTGTAAGATGTTTGTGTCTGTAAGGCATTTTACATATCTTACTTCTGTAGGTTCATCACTGTATTGAAAAAGCGACAATTTTTAAAATAAATCTCTAAGATTTTCTTAATTTCTCTTCAGACTATCCAAGTAGCTCAGTACCTTGCTAGGTATTGTCGTGGTTCCGCCTCTCATCAAGACTAAACTTCCTTTAAGATTCCAAGTGTGGCTATTATAAGATGGATAAATAACAAACCTTAAAATACGATGCCTCAGCCCGTATAGTATTATTACTTTCTTAAGAATCATTTATGGAAATTCAACGATGATTTTCTAGATTGTTGGAAATTCGATTTTCTATAAACTGGAAAATCCTCGAGACATTCCTATAGGTACTCTTTGAAATTCGCCGAGCATTCTTCATAAATAATTTCCAACCTTAAACCTTGGTGCTATTTGTCCAAAGTCACGTTATCACGTCGTGATCTTGGTAAACTCATGCTTTTTAGAAAAAATATTTTGTAGAAGTCCAATCGCGATTTCATAGTCACAGCGCGATCGCTATATACTCGCGAAGTCATGACATGATCGCTACACACTCGCGATCTCGCGGCAGGACTCTAAATCTGCATCGATTCCATTCTTAAGAATTCAGTATAGTTTTTCTTAGCGCAATCACTATCATATTGCTATTTCGCGACGCGACTCATGCCGACAGTAATTGCGGCTATTGCAGGACAATCTAGCTGAGTTTTAAAAAGTCGCGATGCGACTCACGTCACAGAATTTTATTGTTGGATATAGTTGGTACTTTTTGAATTGCAAGAACGGAAAAGAATTCTTTTTCTCTTATT